AGTCACGGCCCGGATTTGGATCGTGACATATGCATAAAACAATCTATTTTTGTTAGAGATAAAACATTTGCATTGTTCCTTCAAAACAATTATTGTTTGAGTAATTTTTGCACCGTTTTTCATAGATATTGAAACTTGTTTTGTTTTCACTTTGTTCAAGTGCTATTGTCAATAAATTTATACTTAATTATAGTCAAACCACCTAATTCTTTTATATCATTTTAGGGGAAAAATGTAATATGTATGGAATTTTAATTTTATATATTTGCTTCATAGGAAGCTGTATAGCTTAATCACAAGAGTTGATAACAAAGCAACTAAAATATTAGTCAATATTGACCCACTATTTGTGTCAAATGTCATTAAAGAGAAAGGCTAATTTTATAAATAAATAAATAAAAATTCGATGGAGTTACGTAGGCGGGCCGAATGTTCTCTTTTATTGCCTCTCTCTTTTCCCTCCATCCCCAATTAATAGCACAAGAGAAGAAGAATAAGAAGCAGCAATGGAGAAGAAAACCTTAAAATCCTCAAAATCAGTTGCCACTTTACCATCCTCCATTGACGAGAGGACAACATTATCAAAGGATGTTATCATGGACTTCTTCTCAAGGCTACCCACAAAGTCATTATGCATATTAAGGTCCGTTTGCAAACAATGGTGAATCATACTTGATGACCCATTCTTCAAATCCTTACACAGAACAAATTCATCTCAGAAACCCAACTGGCTATTGCTCCAAGAAAAATCCTACCTTCATCGCATAATCTACGGTACCTCTACTACTAAACTAACTCTGTCATCAATTGATTTTGAAGGAAATCATAACTTCGACTTCACGTTTACTTTAGATGGTTATGTCAATATGTTGCCATCAAAATCGGAGTTGATTTGCTTTGTTAGTATCCAAGGGTTTTATGTATGTAACCCTAGTACTCAAGAATTAGTCAAATTACCTAAATCTCATTTTTGTGATATTAAATATGATAGTGCATTTGTGTATGTAAAGGATAGGAATGAGTATGTTTTGGTGAATGCTCGTTGTATTAGTTATGAAATTGGGTATGAGGTTTTGAGGTGGACTGATGGTTGTTGTTAGTTGGAAATGCCCGTGTTATCTTCGTTTATCAGGAATTTTGATTGAAAATAGTTGTTATTGGATTGGATACAATGACAATAATGATAACACAAAGATTGGTTTCGAATTACATATACGCCTTCAACTTTGGGTGAGCACAAGTAAAACTTGTATAAAGTTGAACAAATGAACACACGTGTCATATGTGTCATCCTACATGTCATTTTATGTCTTACATGGTGTTCTACGTGTATTGTGTCATGTAGGATGCATGTGTTTATTTATTTAAAAGTTGGAAGTCAAAGTTAAAATTTGAAGTCAAGTTTAAAATCCAATATATGTTATTATGTCTTTCTTATTTCAAACAGTTTAACGCAACCACTACTCATCATTTGAACACAACTTTTTACAAGTAAAATATAGGCTTAAGTCATCGACAAATCTATAAAATTGTCCACGTTATTCATTTGAATACCTCCAACTCATTTTTTTACCTGTTGTACGCCTTTACCCTTTTCAAATATAGATTATTTCAACATTTTTTTGACAATCGGCTTAAAAGTATTTAACGTGTAAAATGCATTCGTGGTGACAATACAACTTACATAATTGGTGCTAATTATTTGTTAACAACTACTATGGTATTACAAATTTCTAGACTACTCTTGCAAGTTTTGGACATTACAAGTTTACAACAAACACACTCTTCACACAAGTGAAATAAATCACCCTCAAACTCCAATAGTTTTACGTGGAAGCATCAACCAAATCATGAAACAGCTCATAAAACTGTGAAAGTGTACATCGACCATATCGAATATATTGAGTGGATCCTGAAAATGAAAACAATATAGGGAGGTTAGTGCTTCGTAAATCCCTTCAAGCAACGGAAAAAATGAGCAAGTATCGCAAAAAAATCTAATTCGATATACAGCAATGAAAAGAAACAACCACAAACATACTAAATACTCATTTATCAGTAACCATCAAGAATGAATGGTGTGAAAAACATCAAATCACATTATTTCCTCCAGAAAAAAGATGTTAATTTGATTGAAACCATAGATCGGTTTTAAGAATGAAGCCGAGATTCATGTGATTTCAAGCGAACTGAATTACACATCTCATCTTCACCCGCAGCCTTGTGGCCCCCATCCCAACCACCCGACCCCATCTTCCATAGTATCTTGTCTAGATTATATACAAATGCTTTTAGGGCAATATTTTTTGTTTACATTCTGAACAAAAGAAATTGAATAAGAAAGACAACTCTAGCTAAGGTTGTTTGCTAGTGACTTCCACCATACAACAAGCCAGCAAATTATGTATGACTAGATTCGACTCAACGGTAAAAACTGTTCGCTGGATGATCATCATATGAATAAAGATAGGTAGATATAGGTTGTCTCAACAGGTTTGTGAACCAATTTGTCAAAATGGACTGTGTTAATAAACGGGAGACTAATTTGGACAGAAATAAGTTGAGCTGGAAGGGATTAGATACACTTACAAGCACCTTTCAAAAAGCTTTGATCAAACACTAATTACTGCTCAAGCTCAAAAGTATCTTTCGAGCTAATTAGCCAAATACAAATTATTTCTCACTAAGAACACTTAAAAGAAAAACACACTTTTTTTAAAAAAAAGTTTATTTTAGAAGTTAGACCAAATAGGCTATATAAACAAGGCAATTAAGATATAAAGTTTAAAAACTATATATATACGGATAGAAGTTCGGACTCTTCACTTCTGATTCCGCACCCGTGTCGGATTCTCCAAAAATACACTACTTTTGGAGAATCCAACACGCACCAGTTGACATTTTCAAAGAGTCCTAGCAACAGATCATATAACCATATAGAATGAACAGTCTGTACCTGATATTTTCATCTTGATGAATGAATGTCCCACAAGACTTGCTCATCAAACTTGGTCAGTACACCATCATCGAGTCGTTTCCACGTCCTGATCTTCTCCATACCCATCCAGACTTCCTTTCCCTTCCCAAGTTCTGCCTGTATTACCCTTGCTCTTCTAGGCCAACCAGCTACACCATAACCATGATATCCAAAGCCTCCGCCATAGCAAAACCACATACCTTCTAGATTACCACAATAATCATTATTATGATCATGACCTATAAAAAAAGCCTTAACATCCCTCATAGAGATAAAGGTCTTCAAGACTCCAGAGTTCACTAATGAACATGCCACATATTCCCGGTACGTGCCAACAATATCTTTAATAGGACCTTGACGGATTTCTGGAATTGGGATGTGGAAAAATGCTAGTGCAGGATTCAGCGGAGGAATCTCCAGTGATTGATCAGTAAGTTTCCATTGTCCCTGTGATTGTATTGACCTGCAAAATGTTAATAAACTCTGAATAGGCTAAACCCACTCGTCAGAGCAGAAACAATTAACTGACACACAGAATAGATAGTTCTAATAAATGGAAGATTTGTAAAGAATGCTGAACAGGGAATCACCGAGTCACGTGCATAGGAAGAGGAGAGAGAGAAAGAGAGAGAGAGTTCATATGTTTCCCTCTAGTGTCAGTCGTAACAATACCTGAAATCTTTTAGAAAGACCACGAAGCCAACTTAGTTGAGATTCTCTGATCCAGTTATAAGTCCGGACACCGTCAACAATAGCTCTATCTCCACTATCTAGAAAATATAGGTTAAGAACGCTGCTGTTACTTAAGTATGAGCCAGGTGCACCCCGCACTTCAAGATTGTAGTTGCCAAATCCATCAATATTTGTCATTGGTAGCTGTTTCATTGGATCCATTGGAAATGTTTGTGAAACGGAATAATCCATCAGGGAGATGAAAGACATAAGTTCTTCACGAGTCATAGTAGATTCTTGATCATGGTTCCCCAAAACTGCTGCCCATGGAATTCCGGATTCTATAGCAGGAGCAAAAACTTCAAACAGAGATTCTGCAGCATCAGTAGCACTTGATCCAAATATGTTATCTCCTATATAACAAAGTCAAGTGAGCTTTACAGTTAGTACAGAAGATCAAACAACGATAAAGCAAGACATATGTGAAAGAACATGGACAACAAAATTGCAGTTGGAGATACGGGAAAAGTAGAAGTTCAGGGAAGTACATAAACAAGTGTGAAATAAGCAATGAAAAGCAAGATAACAAAATGAAATACAACACATCAAGCTGAAATTACATAAGACTGGTGCTAGTAGCTTGTTTACCTTGAAGTAAGCCAAAGAAGACTCAATTCATCATTTCAAGGAACATCAGCTTAGGTAAAGATTATTTTATACAAATACAATAATTTAGGATGAACTGGGGATTAAGGAGGAGTCAGAGGAGAACAGACAGAGGGAAGAGTTTAAAGGAAAACAGAGAGAGGGAAGATGACGAGACACGAACAAAACAAACGAGGAAAAAGAAAAGTGGAACTGCCAAAAGATGCTTAAGGGCGTTAAAGAGCAATGATTTTGATTCACCATTAAGTAATCGAAATTTCATCATAACTACAATATCAAGATTTTAATTTTACATAGACTCTAGTGTAAATATTTACGAGGAAACAGGAAACTAAAACAAGAGAAAAGTAACCAAGAGAATTAAAATATTACACCAGCTCCTATTTAAAACCTACCACTAAAACATCAGATAAATAAATTCAATCAAGACGCCTTATGATTATGCCGCAAAAATGTAGTCAATGGCGGAATTAAAAATCAACCTACAGATGTTTTACGCCCAATCATTCCAGTTAACGCTTCATCCTTTGTATACTTATAATTGAACAAATTAAAACATTAGACAAAACTCAATCATGATATGGCATGATTATGCTGCAAAAAGCATAGTCCATGACTTCATCTCTTCGTTTCAATATTTTTTAATTAATCTTGAGGGCATTATCTTCACAGGAAAATTAATGGGGTATTTTTCTTCAGCTATATGAATGCACCAAGGCTGGTCAATGTGTAAGTGCAACCTATATCAGTCAAATTCACTGACCATGCAATCTTCATTTAGGAAGCTACTTGGGTGCTACTCTTTTTTTTTTTGAGAAAGTTAACATCTTGGGTGCTACTCTAATTAGCGACAATTCAAAGTAGAGGAAGAACCTTAACATTAATTGTTGTCCACTTTGTGAAGTGTTTATAGCCTAATCATCTATTTCACTGCATGGACCAACAATATTGAAATTCAGTCAAAGGTCATGCCATGGAAACTAATGTGGAGTATTAGAGTAGATGAGAGTTTGAAAAGAGTTGATGTAATGTTCATTGTCATTATCCCAAAGCTGGAGCGGGCTACAAGTATCAAGTAGTATAGGCCTATTAGTCTAGTAAGAAGCATTCATAAGATCATTTCTAAGGTGTTTTCTGTTACATATTGGAAGGTCCTAGATAAGACTCTGTCTTCTTCACAAAATGCTTTTGTGGAGGAAAGGCAGATTATGGATGCAATTTTTTGTTGACACATTTAGCGGTAGATTCTAATAGAAAGGAAGGTGCTTCAGTGTTCCGTGCAAGCTAGACCTTGAAACGCCATATGATCATGTGAATTGGAATTTCTTGATTTCATTATTTGGTTCTGGTGAATGGCAATCCATGTGGGTTTTTTTAGTAGTGCAAGGGAATTGTGACACAGGGATGTTCTATCATCTATGATTTCCATTTGAGTGATGGACGAATTGAGTAGGATGATGGATAGAGCTGCGATCGGTGGATATCGATCTCTCATTTAGTGTTCGTGCATGATACTTCGGTATTTTGTCATTGAGATGTGATCTTGTTGGAATACTTGGTTAAATGTAAACTTGGTTCTAGGCAATGTCTGGTTTCAAAGATAAATATTGCAAAGTGTGAAACTATACCTGTTAGAGAGGTGGATAACATTGATAAGCTTGCTTAAGTTTTGAATTGCAGGGTAGGAGCTTTTCGCACTACCTAACTTGGTCTACCACGGGGTGCTTCAAATAAGGACCAAAATGTATGGAACCCGATTCATTAGGGAGTAGAGAAAAGGCTAATGTCACTTCTCCAAAGGTGAGACGGAAGTGCTTATTAACCACACTTTATCAAGCATTACACATATTTCATGTCCTAGTTTCACCAAATCGGTTGGGAGATTATGACATATTCCAAGTGTTGGGGAGGTTTGGAGATAAGGTATTGTTGGGAAAATGGCTATGGAGATTCGGAGCGGAGAAACAAGCTTTTGAAGAGAGGTGGAAATCTAAAGATGTCAATATGTCTTATGGTTGTGGTTGATGAAGGAATATTATGAAGGATTGGGTAGAATTTAGTGGCAGCGTTTCAACCAGCGTAGGAGACAGGAAGAGATGTTTTGGCATCATAATTGGAGCGGGGATAACAGTTTGAAAGATGATTTCCTTAGCACATACAAAGTCTCATGCCAAAAGGAGTAATTAGTCCAACAAATTCAGAAGATACCAGGTGAAGAGGTTTTTCGGAACTTCGAGGTTCAAGAGGAATTTCCATAATTGGGATGTGATTGAGTTCCAACGATTGCAAGATTTGCTTCACCTGAGTTCACACACAATGTACTCATTTGATAGTTTGTGTTAGTGTTTCATGTGCAAGGAGGCGAGTGAAGATGTGAATCATCTTCTTCTACATCGTCATCTTACCTCAAGTTTATGATGGAAATTCTTCACTGGTTTGGCATATCATGGGTGATGCCAAGCATGGTAAAGGAGTTAATATTCCGTTAGGATTATGGGAGGAGAAAAAGGCCCATACAAGATCTAAAGAAGCAGCTGATAAATTAGCTAAGGACTAGTTATTTCTTGCTTCTTTAATTGTGATCATAGTTTTTAATACCCCTCCGTCCCATTTTATATGTGGCACTCTTTCATTAGTCCATCTCAGCAAGAATGTCACCTTACTATAATTAGAAATAATTTAACTTTAAAATTCCACTTTTACCCTTAATGACATGATTTATAACCCACACAAATATCCAAGATTTGTTTTAGATCACAAGTTTCAAAAGTCTTCCCTTTTTTCTTAAACACGGTGCCCAGTCAAACGATTAGCACATTAATAATCAGATCCGTAACTACATCCCCTGTACCAACTGAACTTTATTAGTCTCCCCGTAAAATATTTTGATTTTTGTGAGTGAACTTTATATCCATCAATATACTGTACTTAGTGCAACAAACCACAAACTGTACTCCGCGAAACACCTCATACCTTTTGCAAAAAAATTCAACACTTTCCCGCGTAATGTCTAAATATTGCCCCGGTGGTGAAGTTCATAGAAGTGGAAAAGATTATACAATTCAATAGAAATAGGATTTATTATCCTTTCCGAAAATGGATAGATATTCTAAACTTCAGATATACACAATCAGACACTTAAACTTGTATAAAATTGAACAAATAGGACGGACATATACATTATACAGGTAAACAACAAACAGAAGGGGAAGTTAAAGTTATTTACCAGTAAATACAATCAAGTCTGGTTTTTCAATGTGAATCATCTTCCTCAAGAAATGAGTCGTGTTGAGGTCAGAACAGTAATTGAACTCACTCTCCAACACATCTCTACACCGAGTCACTATCCCATTCCCATAGTGCATATCCGCAACCTAAAACACACCAAATTGGGAACAAAATTACAACACCCACTTCGCCAAAATCCAGCTAAAGTTTTTCGATCTACTTCAACATTTTTCCAACAATTTCTTTTTTTTCTAGTAAAGCACAAAAAAAAAGAAAATTAGTTATTGTAATATAGAACCTGGAGGATTTTGAAGGTTCCATCTGAACGGAAACGCAGAGGCAGATGGGGCTGCTTCTTCAGCTGGATATTTTGGTAATCAGTAGTTAGTCTATTTGAGATAATAAGTGTGTCTACAACATACAAAGTAGCAATAATAAAGATGAAGAACAACAAAGACTGGATCCATAGTGTTACTGATTCCATACTTTGTTCAAATGGAGAAGCAACAACAGACATATACTAATACTCACCTGTAGCAATCATCTAATTTAACTTTATACCGAATTTAAATAACTTATATTATTTAATTTAATTTGATATAGAGTTCGAAATGACAATACTTTTAAAATTTATGATTTTGTAACATAGGTGGTGAGATAAAAATAAAATTTTAAATTATTTTATTGATTAAATAAAAAGTTAGCTCATATAAATTGTGACGGCGATCTAGTTTTACCTACTTTTGACTTTGTTTATTAATATTTCCAATGCAAATTGCTGTCACGCTTCTTCATTTTTTTTGTTAAATGTGTTTAATTATTTAGCAGTTAGCAGGTGTAGTTGCGTTTGATTATGGAAACTAGACACTTGTGTCGGTTATACATTTTCTTGCAAACAAGATTGTCATTTCCATAATTTGCGCTTTACCCCATTTAGTTCTCAAACTAATTTTTATTATAAGTTTAATTTGAAATATACACACATATATATATATATATATATATTAGATATTTTAAGGCTAGTGATATGGCTCAATATAATTTCACATATTTTATTGAAAAAATTATATATATTTACAACTAAGATATTATAATCATCTCTCAGATGCATATTTGTTTCCTCTCGAATACATATTTATCTCCTCTCGGATATATTACTTTCCCGAATTAATATGTAATTTGCAATGTATTGGACAATTAAGAAATGTTTTCAAGAGAAATGAAAAATTCGAGATTCTTGTAATTGAGAAAACTTCTCAGATATTATACAATTAGCCTCTATGAGATTTATGTACTTTATACTATTTTTTTCTTTAGTAAACAATTTCAATATATTATTTTATAATTTATTTCAAATGGTCATACAATATAAATGTGTCGTTTACAACCTATATTGAGAAAGTTGAATTCTAAATAATTCTATGCAGCAAGGAAATAGAGAATTGCATTATTTTATGAGTTAAAACATTTTGTATTCAAGGAAAATATAAAATATTGATATCTTTGAAAAAGTTTATCGTTCTTCATATATATTCGCAAATGATATCTATTTTTCACAATGTTATTATCTTCAAATTTTGAGATATTTGTACCATAAGCTTTGCATCTGATAAAATACTAATCATTGATAAATCAATTTGCAAAGATCGATTTAAAGTCTTTCAAATTCTATTGCTTCAACTTAAGTATATTGTGTTTGTATTTGACTTTGTCGATGAATTATGTGATACATTTTATTATTGTCTTCGATAAGGAGAAATACTTAAAAAATTGATTTCTAACTTCACAACAATAAAAACAATTGAGGAATCAACTTTATTACTATATACAGTAACAATTATCATAATGTGATATTCTAAATATTTATTAAAAATTAATTTTTGACTCCACAACAATAAAAACAATCATGAAAGAAACCTTATTTCTATATAAAATAACAATTATCGTAAAGTTATATTCTAAATTATATTAATTAATTTTTTTTGATATTACATTTAATATAATGTCGTAAAGAAAACTCTAAATCTTATCCCCAAAAAATAATCAATATATCTTTGGTGGAGCAATTAAAATCATAACCGCACATTCAACATTTAGATGAATTTTTTTTGGTTCCTAACCCTAAACCAATTTTAATGGGAAAATCTTGTTGGCATGATACATACATGTGTTGCTACATGTTAAATAAAATTATCTCATACAAAATTTTATTTGAAAGTTTTGTTCTCATAACCACCGATTTAGTTATAATTGGAGGATAAAATTTCTGTTAAATCAACCAGCATTATCAATATAATTTCATAGTTTGGAACTCTGCTCTTAATTTAACAATTCGAGCAAACATCCTTACAAACACCAATTTTAAGTTGATGACAAAGCACATGTGATCATCGCATAGATGCATCTATCATATAGTTACAAATGATCCATATGGCAGGTGAATGAACTCATATTAACCTTTTTATATGTTCCAAAAACTTCAGGGGATACAATCCTAACCTTAGCTGATACAATGATAATTTTATCAAAAGAACAAGCAACAAAAGAGATTTCTTGATGATTTTTTTTATTTCTTCATCATATAAGTCAAATAATTTTCCATTTACATTTGCATCACATTTAGACCAGAATGGTCAACCAGTCATGCCAACTGATTTATATTTCTAAACAAAGTTTTTCTATTGATAATTTCTTTTGTTATTTTTCTTTATTTTTTAACTGCTCATTTTCTTTAGTTTGAATTTTAATATTCATTAGAATTTGAATGTTAAACGTTCTACTGTGTTTGTATTGGAGTTTGTTGATGAATTTTGTGACACATTTTATTATTGTCTTCGATAAATAGAATTACTTAAAAATTGATTTATAACTTCACAACAATAAAAGCAATCGAGAAAGCTACTTTATTACTATATAAAATAACAATTATCGTAATGTGATATTCTAAATATCATAAGTATTTATTAAAAAAAATAATTTTTGACTCCACAACAATAAAAACAATAATGAAAGAAACTTTATTTTTATATACAATAACAATTATCGTAATGTTATATTCTAAATTACATTACTGACTTTTTTTTATACTACACTTAATATCATGCCGTAAAGAAAACTCTAAAACTTACCCAAAAAAAATAATCAATATACTTTTTTTCAGTTGTTTTTTCCTAATTCATTTATCTTTTTAACTTTTTTCTTCCTCTATATTTCTAAACAAAGTTTTTTTTCTATTGACATTTTATTTTGTTGTTCTTCTTTATTTTTTAACTACTCATTTTCTTTAGCTTGAATTTTACTATTCATTAAAATTTGAATGTTAAACTTTTTCCTTATCAAATGTTCTCTGTTAAATAGTTTATCATATTTGATATTAAGAAAATGTAAAAATAAAAACTTTATAATTTTTAATATTTCGATGAATACATTATTAAATTATTGTTATCTTGATAGTCAAACATTGCTCACTATTTTAATAATCAAAATACAAATTTAGTGGTCATATTATGTAACATAATATTAAAAATATGTTTACGCAATATTTCTTTAACGTATTTCTAGAAACAAAATATTAACTATTCAAACACATTTTACTTTAATTATTTCAAAATTTTCTTTCTAAAATATGTCACAACAAGCTTAGCATTTATTATTGTTTGTAAGAATTTAAGTAATAGAAACTCTTCCTTTAAACAAAATTATAAATAACATCCTTAGGCGCCCATAACAAAAATTAAGACATGTATAGATTCTTCTAGATTTTCATTTTTACCATTAATTATACAATAATTATTTTACCCTTGAGTGATACTAAAATTAATAAAATGTCATTGGTCGTCCTTATCATGGCTTTTCTATATAATAGACTAGGCTAGAAAATTTAAAGTTACTATGAAAAAGTTTTTCTGCTCAAAATTTTTCCCTGTTGTTTTTCTATAACAATGGGAATAGGTCGTTACAGATCCTTAGAAATTTTTTAAATTTATTTTATCCTTTTTTAGAAGATTATACGATAGACAAAATTGAAATTTTCTATTTTTCTCAAATTATTATTTAATTCTCTTTACAAATTTTAAATTTAATGAGTCCTAAAATATATTTGTAAAATAAAGTTATCCAAAATATATGGTAAGATATATT